CGTACCGCCCGCCCTCGAAGCTCCGCGCCTCGCCCCGCTGCCCGTTCAGCTCGGGGCGGGAGGAGAGCCCGCCGAGCACAATGCGCTGGCCAAGGAGCGGCGCGTCCACAGCTGCTGCTGCTGCGCCCAACGAAGCGCCGTCCGCCCCTGCCCGGCCCTCCGCAGCCACGGCTGTCCAAGGCGCCTCCATGGGAGAAGGCTCAGGTTAAACAAACTCTGCCTCGCCGGGCAGAGCAGACGGCAGAACAGACAGACGGCGTCGACCGACTCCCAACTCGAGAAGCTGTGAGCCGCTGTTTTCACATAAACGCACAACTCCGGACCCAAGACGCACAAGCACAGACAGTCGAGAAGGGGGAGAGACAGCAACGACAGTCAGAAGTCAGCGCTGGGTCCCAGGAAGGCGAATGCGATGACGGCCTCTAGTGTGAGCTCTAGCTGTTTTCACGGTGCTCAGACTGCCGGCAAAGTGTGTGTGTGTGTGACTGGTGTGTGTCGTCGTGGTTTTAGGTATATTGTTGGCACAAAAGTCGTGGTTTCGTATCAAGAATACTCACTCACTCACACTGCCGGCAAACCCCGGAAAGTGCGGCAAAAATAAGCGCCTGGGGGAGGACAAGGACGTCGACGTACAGCTGTTTTGTTCGAGTCGTTCGGTGGGTTCGGGAAGGGGGTCGGCGCGATCCTCTGGAAGGCGGCGAACGCGCTGCAGAACAAGCTGACGCGGGCCCAGTACCTCGATGAGGTGACTTGGACCACCAAGAGCTGGCTGGGGCTGCAGAAGCAGCGCATCTCAGTCGTTCTTCACACGGCCATCGCAGAGCAGATTGTGAATGAGCTTGCCTGTGGCGAGGGCGGTCGAGTGCACGGAGCTAAGTGCCTCGCCGTCCTCGCGGGAGTCGCTTAGGCGGCTCCCGTGGTGTACCTGTGTTAGTGCCAGCACTGTGTGCTCTATCCGGCGGTATATTTTTGGGCTATCTCTCCTCAAAAACGATGTCAAGCGCCCGCTCGCAGCCAGCACGCGCCGCGCCCCTGGGCGCTCCCCGCTGCGGCGCGCCGCCCGCGCGCGGGCTGCCCGGGCGAGCGACCGCCACCGCTCGCCCCTCCGCGCCCTCTGCCCGCGCACGGCCGACGCGCAAGCCCGCGGTCGCGCGCGAGCCGTCGCTTTGCGGACGCCACCGTCTACCCGCGCTCGCTCGCGATCGAGTCAGACGACCCTATCTTCCGAGTAGCGGAGGTGTGCTTGCACCCCCTTCCCAAGGCACATGCACTTTGGAGGGAGAAAGTAACCGCGGCGGGGCCCGCAATCTCACATTAGGCACCTCACCCCCAGCAGGCGCGTTCTCGGCGTGCTGCTCCTGCACAGGTTTTGCGGCCGCCCCGAGAGGGGGAGCGGCCGCTCCTCCGCACCATCGGCCCACGGCATCCTGGGCGGCGTCGGCGCCGCCCCAACGGCCGGCTCGGGCGCTTCCCGCCCCGCCTCGGCTACACTTTGTCGCGGCGATCCAGCGGTGCGCCGCCGCACCGCGCGCCTCCCCCGAGCCTCTGTACAGCGCGATGAGCCGCCTCGGCTGCCGCCGTGGTTGCGCCGGCGCCCCTCCCGCACGGCGCGACGCGACCGCAGCCGCGTGCGTGGTCTCACTGACCTCTTCCGCCCGCGCGTCCGCCTCTCAGACCCGCGCCTCCCCTTTACCAGGCGCCACCACCGGCACGGCCGCCGCCGCCCGCGCGGCACCTCCCGCCCCCCCTGGCGATGCTGGCCGCTACCCCGCCGCCGTAGCTACCCTCCCCACCGCTGGTGCACCGCCTCCGCCGCCCCCCTCGGCGCTTCGCCCGCGATTTTGCCGCCTCCTCCTCCACCACCACCCGTCTAAGCTTCCGCCCGCCTTCTCGCCACCGCCGTCCGCGCCACCTCAGCCGCCCTCCCCGGCGCTGCACCGGCGCAGCAGTGCCGTCGGCGCCGCCGCCCGTGCCGCCTCGGCCTCTGCGCCTCCAACCTCGCCGCTTCCGCAGCGGTTCCGCCCTCGGCGCCTCCACCTCTCACCCGCCAGGTCGAACTTCCGCCGACGATGGTGCCACCGCTGCCGCCCCCCCCGCTCGAGCCTCGGCCGCCGCACCCCGCCGTCCGCGCCCCGCCGCCACCCCCTCCGTCACGGCACACGCCGGCACCACCGCGACTACCGCTGGCTCCGCCCTAGACGCCGCCGACCGCTCGCAAGAGCGGCGAGCCCGGGGCCGACACCCCTCTGTTAGGTGACGGTCGACGGCTCCTTTCGAGGCTTTGTGGCCCTTTAAGAGGGCACCAGCAGCTTGGGGGGTGCGCGCTGGATGGCCGGCGCGGTGGAGCAGCGGCGCGGAGCCGGGGGCTCGACGTGCGGCCGTCGGTGGCGCGACACGCGGCCTCCGGTAGCGATTCGCCGCGGCTCCGGCGGTGTGATTTTTGTGCGTTTTCGAAGGCTGTGGGCGGGATAAGGCCGGCTAGACCGGCCCTGGTGTGCCCTAGTGTGTTCCCTTACACCCCTGGCCCGGGCGCAGTAGCGCGGTGCGCGTCCCGAGGGCGTAGGGGCTCAGAAAACAATTGATTGTTTTTTCAGCCCCACTTAGAGCACACAGTGGTGCGCGCCAGTCCCGTGCCCAGTGTCGTGCGAGGGAGTTTTGTTGTAAATTTCTTAGTTGTTTAAATTCTTAGTTGGAATTCACGTGATGCGATGAGTGGCAAGGCCTTGCGTATATGACGCGGCCGCAATCGAAGCCGCCGACGCGGTGCTGTTACTGCGAGTGAGTGAGTGAGTATTCTTGATACGAAACCACGACGACACACACCAGTCGACTCGCATCGCTTCGGTTGCCTCCATGAACGGCGGAGCTATTCTCGCGCCCACACCACACCTGGCTCCAACGTGGACACGCCCATAGCTCTAGGTCTTGCATGGCATCAGAAGCTTTATCTCTGGGCCCCGAAAGGCATCTCTAGTAGCATCGTTACGCATGCCCCCTCCCCCCAGGGCGCATGCGCCTCACGTCTCGCCAGAGCATACGCCCTTGGTGTGCGACGAGACGAGTTTTTCGCCATGCAGCGAGCAGCAAGCCGCCCGCCGCAAACAGCCGGAGGCATCGCCACAGCGCTGTCTGCGCCGCGGTCCCGCACCCGTCGACGAAGCTCCCCCCGCGGAAGGCCGCGCGTGGCCACGCCTTGTCGATCGAGATGAGCGCGCCTGAAGCTCGCCCACCTACTGCCCCCCCCCCACACACACACACTGTGAGAAGCACCTCTCCGTCGTCGTCCTTGGCCACCCCCAACGGGGTGACCCGGACACGGAGGAGCAACTGGACCGCGTCAGCGGTGACGGCTGGGTGGCAGCGAAGGACGGCGATTACGCTGACGCCCTCGCCAAGGGTCACACGGTCATCCTCCTCGTGACCGAGTCGACCGGAGCATTCTCCGCCGACCTCGATCGCGTCCTCCGCCCGCTTGCGAGGACCGCACGCGCCAGTGGGTCCATTGACCACACGCCGTATGGCACCTCTCGCGCGTCCACCCGCTCGCACTACACCTTTCACTCCGCCGCCATCTCCGCCGCCATCGTCACCGCCGACGCCCTCACCATTCAGAACTCGGCCGCCGCCCTCGGCTTCGAGCTCACCCTCGACCCTCGCGATCTCGCCCGGCGCTCGTCGGGTCGGCCGCCATCGCGGTCGGCGCCACCACCTCCTCCCGCCCCCCCCGCAGCCACTGCCGCGCGGCCGCCAATGCGACCGACCCCCCCCCCCCCGCTTCCCCGACCCCTCCCTAAACGCCCCCGACAGCGAAGCCCACGCCGCGCGCGGCACCACCGACTCTACCTCCGACCCCAGGGCCTAGGCGGCCCGCCATGAGATCTAGCCGTGTGTGCTGGCGTCCGGGTCCCAGCGGGTTTTCACGTATGTGTGTCTCGCGCCTTGCGGGGGGGAGCGGAAAGGAGGAACCTCTTCCCAAGAGCACCACTCTTGGAGCGCCGCCACTACCACCCAGAGCGCTGCAAGCAGCGCCGGGCAATGGCGGCTTACCGCCCACCCAGCCCCCCCTTCGGCACACCCCGGCAGCCAATGTGTGACGGCTCGAACCCGCTAAGCCATCCCGCAAGCGGATGTATGTATGTAGACGGAATGGACAAGTCATGCCGCGGTCGGCTGAGCGCTGCATACACATGCAAGAGTGCCCCTGGATGGAGCAGTACCTCACCTCGCCGCTGCCCGAGGATCGTCACGCCCGAGATGTGGCCATCGCCAACGCCGCCGCCGCCCTCACCGCCGCCGAGCATACCCTCAAAACCACCGTCGACCGCGTCCGGGCCGGAGGCGGCACCGACAGCGACATCACAGCGGCCAGAGACGCCCTCGACGCCGCCTACCGAGCCGACGCGGCTGCTCGGCAACCAGTCAACTTCCCAGTCAACTATGGTATTCGAAGAATGGAACCCATCTCGTGTGCCACACAGTCACTTCGTGGCACACCCTGCGACCTGGGAAAATGCGTCAATCAAGTCGGACAAGCGTAACTTCTTCAACCTCACGGGACAGCCCCTGGACGGCTCGTACGCCTCCAGCGTGGGCATCCTCGTGCACGCCGCGTGGCCGGATCGGCACGCCTCCACGCGATCTCGACGTCAATGGGCGGGGCTACTGCGGCTGCGGCGCCTCTTTTTGACAAAGCTCGAGCGGAGCGGCGCGCCACGCGAGAGCCGCGACGGTCGATGCGCAACATGGTCGAGGCCTTCCGAGCCAGGCAACAACATCAACGGACAACGCGCGATCTAGCCCGGCCCTCACACTTACGGGGCTCTTTTAGCTCTTTCACGACCCTGACCGGCCCGTCGATCTACGATCTCTCTCGGCACCTGTGGCTGACCAGTGCGAGTTATTTCCCCTGTTCTCTATGTCGCTTGTCGGTTTTGTCTTACATCTCTCGAAGGAGCACGAAAGGGTACAGGGTTCTATCCCGTCACACGCACACTGTAGATCTACACGAGCCACGGCGTGCACGTCCCGTTGTGCAGGGCCGGGGACTGCTGCGGCTCGTGCGGCGCGCACACGCCGCGGCTGTCCACGGCGCTCGCGTTGATCGCCTGCACGAGGGCGGTCAGCCGGCGCACGAGGCCGGGCTGGGAGGACGCGAGGTTGGTACTCTCCGTGGGGTCGCTCTCCAGGTCGAAGAGCATCACCTGTGCGCAGACCATGGGAGGGCTCCTCGGTCCGACGGAGGCCGCGGCTGCACCCGCGTCCGAGGCGCGCACGGAGTCGACTGTCCACGGCCCTGCCGCCGTCGCGCTGTTGTTGTGGTCCGCGGGGCACGGCGGGCCTAGAACCATGCCTCCAGCGTATAGCGTGGGTTCATTCCCGTGGGTGGTGTGGTAGCGGTCGGCGGGGCACATCCTGTTCATGTGTTGAATTCACAATCATGAGGGCGGGAGGACGGTCTTTATGGGGAGATGCGGGGAGATATGGTGAGATGTTCCGCTTCTAGGATGGCCGGCCTGCGCACCAGATACGGGGAGATACGGGGAGATACGGGGCGATACGGGGCGATACGGGGAGATACGGGGAGAGATACGGGGAGGTATGGGGAGATATGAGGAGATGTGCTGCTTCTAGGACGGCCGGCCCGTGCACCAGAAGCCGTTGCCGATGCTGCGGTGCCGGTTGTCGTCCGCGCCTAGGGTTCGGGTACCGTGGTGGTAGGGGGATGGGTTCGGTACCGTGGTGCTGCGGTGGCGGTTGTCGTCCGCGCCCGGGTCGCCAAGGAGGAGCTTCCACCTCCCCTGCCGCAGGGCGTAGTACGGAGTCGCGTGCTGGTCGCCTAGGGTTCGGGTACCGTGGGGGTAGGGGGATGGGTTCGGTACCGTGGGTGTGGGGGGGGCGAGTCGCGTGCTGGTCGCCGGAGCAGACGAAGCCCGGCGGCCGGTTGCTGTACGGGCTAGCGAGCGGGTCCGCCTGTGGAGATGGTAGTCATACCCATACTTCAAAGAGCCATCCACTCCTTTTGCTACGGGGAGATACGGGGAGATATCGCGCAGCACAGTCTGCCGTGCTCGAGATACGGGGAGATGTGGGGAGATACGGGGAGATACCGGGAGATATCGCGCAGCACAGTCTGCCGTGCTCGAGATACGGGGAGATGTGGGGAGATACGGGGAGATACCGGGAGATATCGCGCAGCACAGTCTGCCGTGCTCGAGATACGGGGAGATGTGGGGAGATACGGGGAGATACCGGGAGATATCGCGCAGCACAGTCTGCCGTGCTCGAGATACGGGGAGATGTGGGGAGATACGGGGAGATACCGGGAGATATCGCGCAGCACAGTCTGCCGTGCTCGAGACACGGGGAGATGTGCGGAGATACGGGGAGATGTGGGGAGGTGTGGGGAGATGTGGGGCCTCGAGCAGCACAGTCTGCCGTGCGCCCGCCCCTCCGCGGGAGAGCATTGGCCACTGCGAGACGCCATCGAGCGCGGAGCCGGCCTGTTCACAGCAGGTGCGGTGTGAAGAGGCGCCGTGGTGTGAGGAGACGCCGCCGAGCGCGGAGCCGGCCGCAGCGAGCTCCCCCGCATCTCCTCCCATCGCGGCGATCAGCGTCGGCAGCACATCGACGGTGTGCACGATCCTAGAAGGTTCCTAGAAGGTTCCTAGAAGGCTCCTAGAAGGTTCCTAGCACATCAACGGTGTGCACGATCCCCGCCGCCGTCGCGCCGCGCTGGCTGCGCGCGATGCCAGCGCCTACCCGCGGCGCGAGAGAGCGGATGGCGCAGGGGGCCTGCCCGCCCACGTGCTCGGAGCGATGGCGGCGCCGGAGACGAAAGCGACGCCCCGCAGTCCCCCCTCCCACGCCGTGCACTTTCCGCCTCGCAGCGGCCAGTTCTGCCCCCCGGTCCACCCGCCGCACGCCGGCGTGGCGGCGCCGTTGTCCTACGTGCTGAATACGCCAACCTCAGGGCGTGAATACGGTATTGTGCAGTGTCTTCAGAGCACCGCGTGAAGACGAGGGAAGCGAATGCAGTGAATACAGCGGAATACGGCCGAGTACAGCTGAATACGTGCCTTCTCGAGCGCTGGTTGGGAGACATGAACACGTATGCTGGTTGGGGAGACATGCACGTGTTCCGCTTCTAGGGCCGTTGTCCGTCTGGAACCAGAGGAGCGTATCGTCGAGGATGCCTGGGGGAAGGTTCCGAGAAGGTTCCGAGAAGGTTCCGAGAAGGTTCGAGACGCTTCGTGGAGGATGCCTAGAAGGTTCCGTAGGTTCCTAGAAGGTTCCTAGAAGGTTCCTAGAGGGTTCCTGCGGTGAGGGAGAGGGAGAGGGAGGGAGGGAGGGAGGGAGAAGGAGGGAGGGAGGGGGGGGGGGGGGAGGGAGGGAGGGGTTTAGGGAGGGAGGGAGGGAGGGAGGGAGGGAGGGAGGGAGAGGGAGAGGGAGAGGGAGAGAGAGAGAGGGAGAGAGAGAGAGAGAGAGAGAGAGAGAGAGAGAGAGAGAGAGAGATGTCGGCAAGGATGCCCTTGCGCCGCAGCGCGCGCGTCACGTTGCCAACGCCCTCGTCCAAGCAAGAGAGCATGCCCGCGAAGAGGTTCCGCGCCTATATTTCTTTTCCGCGCGCGATTTCTTTTTTCCAAGCAAGAGAGCATGCCCGCGAAGAGGTTCCGCGCCTATATTTCTTTTCCGCGCGCGATTTCTTTTTTCCAAGCAAGAGAGCATGCCCGCGAAGAGGTTCCGCGCGTTCGTCCCCTCCACCCTGGCAAACTTGTACGGTGCGACGTACTGCGCCGGCACCTAATTAATAATTAATTAATAATTAATTAAACTTGTACGGCGCGACGTACTGGGCCGGCACCTGCTCCACGTGCGGGGGAGCTCGCCCGAGCGACAGCCGAGAGGAGCCGAGAGGCAGCCGAGAGATGGCCGAGAGATGGCCGAGAGACAGCCGAGAGGCAGCCGAGAGGCAGCCGAGAGGCAGCCGAGAGGAGCCGAGAGGCAGCCGAGAGATGGCCGAGAGATGGCCGAGAGACAGCCGAGAGGGAGCCGAGAGGCAGCCGAGAGGCAGCCGAGAGGCAGCCGAGAGGCAGCCGAGAGGGAGCCGAGAGGAGCGGAGAGGAGCCGAGAGGCAGCCGAGAGGCAGCCGAGAGGAGCCGAGAGGCAGCCGAGAGGCAGCCGAGAGACAGCCGAGAGGCAGCCGAGAGGCAGCCGAGAGGCAGCCGAGAGGCAGCCGAGAGGAGCCGAGAGACAGCCGAGAGGGAGCCGAGAGGAGCCGAGAGACAGCCGAGAGGGAGCCGAGAGGCAGCCGAGAGGCAGCCGAGAGGCAGCCGAGAGGCAGCCGAGAGGCAGCCGAGAGGCAGCCGAGAGGCAGCCGAGAGGCAGCCGAGAGGCAGCCGAGAGGAGCGGAGAGGAGCGGAGAGGAGCCGAGAGCAGCCGAGAGGCAGCCGAGAGGAGCCGAGAGGAGCCGAGAGGAGCCGAGAGGAGCCGAGAGGAGCCGAGAGGAGCCGAGAGGCAGCCGAGAGGAGCCGAGAGGAGCCGAGAGGCAGCCGAGAGGCAGCCGAGAGGCAGCCGAGAGGCAGCCGAGAGGAGCCGAGAGGAGCCGAGAGGAGCGGAGAGGAGCGGAGAGGAGCCGAGAGGAGCCGAGGGGAGCCGGGGTGAGCCGAGGTGAGGTGAGGTGAGGTGAGTTCGGCGCCTGGTCGGGCACATGCACTGCTTGGTACGGGAGGTAGAGGAAGAGCGGCGCGGCCGCGTCGTGCTCGCGGATGATCGACACCGCGCGCCGAGTGAAGAGGTGCGTCGAGTACTCGCCGACCGCCTCCCAAGCGTGTCGCGAGCAGCCGGCGCCGCAGTCTGGTCGCGAATCATCGTGCAAGTCAAACCCTCCGCAGTCGCCCTGATGGGTGTAGTAGTCTTCGTCGCCAGAGTAGTAGCCGAGGTACGAGTCGAAGCCGCGGAACGTGGGCGTGTGCTCCCAGCGGTGGTACCCGAGGTGCCACTTCCCGACCGCGTGGCACTTGCTCCGCGCGTCGACTCGCTTGACAAACTGCGGCAGCAGCGTCTCATCCAGCGGGAGCGACCAGTTGTTTTGACTCGTGAGGACTCCCGACTGGAAGCCATAGCGGATGTTGTAGCGGCCGGTCAGCAGGGCGCCCCGCGTCGGGCTGCATGCGCGCTGCACGTAAAAGTGAGCCAGCTTGACGCCGGCTGACGCGAGCTTGTCAATGTTCGGAGTCGCGATCTGGCTTCCGGCGTAGCCAAGGTCCGCGTAGCCGAGGTCGTCTGCCACCACGAGGACCAGGTGCTTCGCCGGCGGAGACGCGGCGGAGAGGGCGGGAGCGGCCGCAGTGATGAGCATGAAAAAAGAAGAATTTTAACGCGCGAGAGGTAAGAGGCGGACGCCCAAGGGTGGGCGACGGCTAGCGCACCACACCCCTCTCCTCAAAATCCCTGTGTGGTGGCGGCGTGCCGTTCCATCCCTCCCTTGGGTTGTCTGTTTTCTTTCTTTCTTTCTTTAGGTGGATGCACGCGCCAGTTCGCACCTGTGTCGAGCCTGTCTGCTGTGAGAGAGAGTTCTTTTGTTTAAATTCTTTAGGTGGATATCCTTTGGCCGCGTTTTAGGTATATTGTTGGCAACGCGTTGGGTTTACAACAAAGCTCCCTCGCACAACACTGGGCACGGGACTGGCTCGCACTGGCACTAACACAGGTACACCACGGGAGCCGCCTAAGCGACTCCTGCGAGAGTGGCGAAAAAGAAGAAGTACGCTAGCTAAAAAAATGTATGCTTTTTGCCATCCGGCTTTCAATCCCAAACTGTCACTCCCCTCTCTAAGGTAAGGTCAGGTAAGGTAAACGTCTCGCCTGCTCGCCAGTCGCCACGGGTGACGAACCGGCTTGATGGATGAGAGTGGGAGACCGGCCCTATAGTGCCTGTGTTTGGATGTGCGCCCGCGCGCTGTCGCTCTTCATTAACTTTGGTGCACGAGAAAATGCGATGTGGCAATCGTGGAGCTGGCCTGCGGTTTTATTCGTTATGGCTAGTGCCATTTCACTCTGACACGCTAATCTTGAAAACGTCTCCAACGGAGCTCCGTGTTGCTTCCAGCGCCCTCCCCCGCGCTCCCTGCGGCCATGGCCGATGCTCCTAGAAAGAGAGGTCATCTGGCTACCGCGAGAGCGACCCAACTCGTCGACATCGTCCGATGATGGTGCCGCAAAGTCAGCCTTCGGAGGCTATCGTGGGGTCGAGCCGGCAGTAGCCGTGACATGTGGTTCCACCACCCCTCGTAGGCTTTGCCTCTGACCGCCACCGTTCCCAGGCTGCCTAATGGGATGGAAAGGAAGGCTCGGCGAGCGTATAGAAGCGTGCTCGACCTCGTCGTGGCAACCTGTACGGCAGCGCTGGTAGGCGCGATGAGCGTCGTGCCACCTGACCCGAGACGGGTCGCAGGCGTCGTACCGAGCGCGTCGAGACCGTGTCCTGATGTGATCTGCACGGGTGAGTCACGTCGGCGTCAAAGGAGCGACGTGCGACCTGTCAGAGCTTGATCTCCAATCTCAGCGGCGTCGAGTCGTCTCCGGCGGCGACAATTTTGTCCCTCCCCAGGACGCACAGAGGCAGCTGTGACCCCGCCGAGTGGACGGGGGCACTCCGCGCCACCTGCCGAGTGCCCCCGTCCACTTGGCGGGGTCGCAGCTGCCTCTGGAAGGCACCGAGAGGGACAAAATGGCGCAAATGGTCAAATCAAGGTTTTGTAACGCGAGCTGTGCCACAGTGAAATGGCACTAGCCTATGACACAGCTGTCGTTTTCATCGAAATAATATCGACTCTTCCGCCTCCGTCGCCTCCGCCTCGAGCTCGTAGTAGAAGTACGAGTACGTCGAGTTGTGCCCAGGTACGCCGTCGGTCATCGATTCAACAAACGACTCTTCCTTCGCAAGCACGTTCTCAAGAAACCACGAGCCGGCCGCCTCGGCGCCCCACACCTCGTTCTCAACCACAAAGGCGGCCGAATGCGCCAGCCCGCTCATGATGCTCCGTGCGACTGTGAAGTGAAAGCCGCGCCCTCCTTGGAAGCGGCCTCGGCGGTGGTGGCGATGGTGGTGGTGGCGCCTCGGGAGCCACTCGGCGGTGGAGGTGGCGAAGGAAGTGTGGCCGTGCAGTTTCTCTGAAGCTAGTGGCGCGCCGGCCGCACAAGCGAAGGCGACAAGCGTGAGGCAGAGCCCTCCCAGGATGAGGGCAGAACTTCTGCACAGCCGGGCGCGCGTGCCAGACCTCGCAACCGGCCCGGAGGGCGTCGCGATCATGCCGGGCCGGAACGGCTTCCTTAGAAAAGAATTCTTAAAAGTGAAGCCTCTCCCCTTATGGTTTTATTTCGTGGCCAGGACCCCGAAGGCAGCGCTGTCAGCCCACGTCTCTGCCATTGTTGAACGACAACGAGATGAGAGCTGTGATCCGTGCGTCTTGTCTTGATTTTTTGAGAGGGGAGAGACATGCAAATTGCGGCGTACACTAAAAACAAAGACGTTCGGCGGCGGCTTCTCGCCCACCGCCGTTCTCAAGCTGCGCCGCCTCGCGCGCAAAGTCGCGCGCGGCAGCGTCGACCGCACGGCCTACTCGCCCAAGTACTCGCTCTCTTTTATGTCCCACCATGCAGAGCGCATCTCTCTCTCTGTTGTGCGAGGCGTACGCGAAGCGCACCAGGCACGATATCGACAGGCAGGAGAAGATCATCACAGGAGAAGTCATCGACGAGAACAAGCAGAGGATCGTCGGGTCTTCCCCCAAGATTTCCCCTGCGCCGGAATAGCGAGGCGTGATGTCTGATGAAGCGGCGGAGGCATGCGTTGCGGGATTGGAGAGGGGAGGGCTGGGGTGCATGCCACACACACACACACACACACACACACACACACACACACACACACACACACACACACACACACACACACACACACACACACACACGCACGCACGCACGCACGCACACACACACACACACACCGAGCCAGGGCCGACGAGAGAGTAGAGAGAGAGCGAGAGAGACACGCAGAGAGAGAGAGAGCGATGTGGTCCACCGAGAGCACCCTGATCGAGCTTTGTGAGACTCTGTCGACGCACAGACTCCACACGAGTGCCTTTTTGGAGGGGGCCTGGAGTGATTGCTACATGATTGGGCCAGAGCGCGATGTTGCACGACACGCGGCGGTCCGGTTGAGGAGGTGTTCATCCTTCATGCGTGGGGTGCGTGTTGCTACCGCCGTAGTACCCTTTCGGGATGAGGGCTCTGGTGTCGGTCGGAACACGGCTACTATGGCAGAGCACGTCGACGATGCGGCTGCCTGCGGCGGCGGCACCTTCGCGGTTCGCGCCCATAGCCTGCACTTCGAAACGGCCGCCACGCAGCTCAATTATCCTTCACCACAGCGTGTCTTCAATTCTCCTTCGCTGCGTCAAATACTGGCTGGCCGTTGGGTTTACGTGTTCGGCGACTCCTCGTCGCGTGGGCTGTTTCTGTCGCTGTACCAGCAGCTCACGCGAGGTGACGGCTTCGATCCATCGGATTGGCTGGGCGTCGAGCGAAACATTGCGCTGCTTGGCTTCGCCGACGCCATCGTCTCCAATGCAGGCGATCTGGTCAACGTCCGCAGCGCCCGGAAGCACAAGGTTGCAGTAAGCTCCGACCTGTCCGGGCAGCTGAAATTGGTCAATGGAGCGGCGCGCTGCGTCGATGCGTATCACGTGGCGCATGTTCACCACCGCTCGAAGGCTGCAGAGCGATCCGTTCGTCGAGCTGCGCGCCAGCGTCGACAGTGCAGCTCCGGACTGCCACGTCGTCCAGCTCGGCGCGTGGGATGACATGCGGCACACCGCGCTCGAGGTGTACGCGAGGGACCTCTTCGATGGGCTCGCAGGGTGGCGACGAGCTGCGAGAGTCGCGATGATGGGGGCGGCGCCAGCGCTGGTCTTCAGCACCGCCCCGGTGCCACTCCGCGCTGCTCACGGCGGGGACGCGTGCGGTGCATGGCATGAGGCGATGTGGGCGCGGCAGAATTGGACGGTTGTTACCGCGGGCATCCATCTGCTCAATCGCGCGCGATCTGCGGCCCTGCTCCAGCGTGACCTCGCGAACGAGACGTGCCCCTGCCTCTCCCCGATCGCACGGATGCGTGCACGCGGAGGCAGGTTTGAGTCCATGTACTACCATCCGCCGCACCTGCACAACCTCTGGGACGTGCAGCAGCTCGCCGGCCATCTGCGCGAGCAGTGGGCCGTCCATGTCCATCTAGCGAGCGCTGTGCGCGAGGCACCACGCCGGCGCGGCGCGTCTGTCACGGTCGGGCTGGCACAGGACGTCCGTGCTGGCTGCTGCTGCGAATTGCCGAGCAACCTGAGCGTCGAGGCCGGGCAGATTGGAATGTGGGCAAACCTCTGCAGAGTCAGTCTTTGAGGTATGTGCTGCGTGGTAGTGTGGCACAGCACGCGTTGTGTTGCCGCGTGGTTGGGTTGTTGGTTGGTGGTGGTGATGTAGGGCTGGTGGGACCCTTGATTGATGGCTGCAGTTTCCAAGATAAGGTAAGGTAAGGTAAATTTCTCCACACACACAAAGTGGTGGGGCAAGGGGGTGCGACCCTCGCATCTCCACACCCGGACACGGGCAGGAGCCCCACGGCATTCAAAGTGCAAGCACTGGCCCGGTGCACGTGGGTGAGCAGCCTGCCCCTCCCTCCCGACAAACCACGAACTCCCGCACACACACAATCGCACTCTGGCCATCGAATGACTCCGAATGACTCACTGTGTGTGCTAAGACAGAATCTCCGCAGACAGCCAAAACGGGCCGTGCCGCGTTTGTGGTGTCCTCTCAAGCACTAGCATCTGGGCGCCGCACTCGAGTGGGCGGGTCACATCTATGTGGGCCCAGTGCGCACTAGGCGCATATGCTAGTGCTATCCTGCCCTATGGGAGGCAGAGGGATGGGGGGCGGGGGGGGCAGAGGTAAGGTGGGGTGAGACTGGGGAGGACCTCAGAGATCCTCCATGGGGGTGGGGTCCGGCTCGAAAAGGTCAAAGTGCTCGATGCCGGTCCCGCCATCGCCGCCGACGCCGTCGCCCTCGTCCGCCTCGGAGGCGGAGGTCGTCGGGCGGGGCGCCTCGCCCGTCGCGAACCTGCCGCCGAACACGGCGTCGGCCGGCGCCGAGGCGCCGGCAGCCGTGATCAGGTCGGCGACCTTTCGGTCCCTGCAGGCCGCATCAATTTTGCCGCTCCGGGACGGCTCGTAGAGCTCGTTGGCGAGCCAGTCCCGGGCGACCTTCGTCGCCACGGAGCCCAGAGGGACCATGGCGTACACCAG